CCTGGCGACAGAGTGAGACTCCGTCTAAAAAAAAAAAAAGGAGGGAGTAGTTCTCTATTCCAGTCATTCTCAAACTTTAGCATGACTCAGAATCACCTACAGCAGTGGTGTTGGGCAAATCTTTGTGTAGAGGTTTTGCAGGCCTCACAGTCTGTGTAACTACTCAACTCTGTCAAGATAGCGTGAAAGCAGCCACAGAGGACAGACAATACGGAAATGAGTGAGTATGCTGACTCTGGTTTTTTTAGAGACAGGGCGTCACTCTGTTGCCCAGGCTGGAGAGCAAAGGCACGATCGTGGCTCACTGCAGTCTAAGACTCCTGAGCTCAGAGATTGTCTTAAAGGGGCAGGCACAGTGGCTCACACTTGTAATCCCGCACTTTGGGAGGCTGAGGTGGGGCAGATCACGAGGCCAGGAGTTCGACACCAGCCTGGCCAACATGGTGAAACCCCGTCTCAAATGAAAATATAAGAAATTAGCCAGGTGTGGTGGTGCGTGCCTGTAATCCCAGCTACTCAGGAGGAGGATTCTCTTGAGGCTGGAGAATTGCTTCAACCTGTGAGGCAGAGGTTGCAATGAGCTGAGACCGCGCCACTGCACTCCAGCTTGGGCAACAGAGCAAGACAACGTTAAAAAAAAAAAAAAGATCGTCTTGCCTCAGCCTGCCAAGTAGCTGGGACCACAGGCATGTGCCACCATATCCGGCTAATTTTTTTTCATTTTTAGTAGAGATAGGTTCTTGCTAAGTTGCCTAGGCTGGTCTCAAATTCTTGGCCCCAAGCAATCCTCCTGCCTCAGTCTCCGGAAGTGTTGGGGTTACAGGCTTGAGCCACTACATCTGGCCTAGGTTCCCTTGAGCTTATCTGTAAAAGGGCAATAGCAGGCAGGATTTGACCTGCAGGCTCACCGTTTGCCAAGCCCAGACTCAGAGGGCTAATTCAAATTCAAATCTCTTATTTATTTTTTTTCGAGGGGGAGTCTCACTCTGTCACCCAGGCTGGAGTGCAGTGGTGTGATCTCGGCTCTCTGCAACCTCCACTTCCTAGGTTCAAGCAATTCTCCTGCCCCAGCCTCCTGAGTAGCTGGGATTATAGGCTTGTGCCACCATGCCCAGCTAATTTTTGTACTTTTTAGTAGAGACAGGGTTTCACTGTGTTAGCCAAGATGGTCTCTATCTCCCGAACTTGTGATCCGCCAGACAAAAAATAGGCTTCTTGAGGCCTAAACAATTTGGAGGGTGTGAATGTAGGGGAGTCTTAGTTTAAATATCACATGCCTTGGTCTCCAAGATGGAGGGAATGTGTCCCATGTCTGGTGACCCCCGTACCCGAACACCAGAGCTCAGAGTGGGATCTACAGAGGCCTTCCAAAAAACATATCCAGAGAAGGTGGGGAGGGTTTCTCACTCAACAATCTCAGTGTTGGAGGATCTGGAAGTTAAAAGGGCTCTGGGCTGGACATGGTAGTTCATGTCTGTAATCCCAGCACTTTGGGAAGCTGAGATGGAAGCATTGCTTGAGCCCAGGAGGTGGAGACCAGCTTGGGAAACACAGAGATGCCCTCCTCTTTACAAAAAGTTTTAGAAATTAGCTAAGCATGGTAACACATGCCTGTAGTCCCAGCTACTTGGGAGGCTGAGGTGGGAGAATGGCTTAAGACCAGGAGTTTGAGGCTGCAGTGAACCACGATTGCACTAGTGCACTCCAGCCTGGGTGACAGAGCAAGACCCAATCTCAAAAAATAAATAAATAAAAATTTAAGAATTGTTTTAAAGCGCCGGGCACGGTGGCTCACGCCTGTAATCCCAGCACTTTGGGAGGCCGAGGCGGGTGGATCACGAGGTAAAGAGATCGAGACCATCCTGGTCAACACGGTGAAACCCCGTCTCTACTAAAAATACAAAAAATTAGCTGGGCATGGTGGTGCGTGCCTGTAATCCCAGCTACTCAGGAGGCTGAG